ATGAATTTGGGTATGACTTTTGATTATTTCAAGAGCAAGACTATGAAGGATCAACCTGACCAGGGGACAAATGGAGGGAAAGCTAACGGTAAGGAGAGGGTGAATAAATTTCAGGATTTAAAATGTAAATTAAGTTCATATAAAATTAAAGAGCTAAAGCACTTAACTATAGAATTAAAAACAGTTACTTAAAAGAAAAGCAACCCTAACCGGTTTGGCTCAGTGGATAGAGCATTGGCCTGCTGACTGAAGGGTCCCAGGGTCAATTCCAGTCAAGTGCATGTACCTTGGTTCTGGGTACATCCCCAGTAGGGAGTCTGCAGGAGGCAGATGATCAATGTTTCTCTCTCATCAATGTTTCTAACTCTCTATCCCTCTCCCTTCCTTGCTATATATATAAAAAAAAAATCAATAAAAATATTTTTTTAAAAAGAAAGAAAAGCAACTTGAATACAATGGAGATGATAAAGACAAATAATGAACTAAGGTGGTTTGCATGATGATGTAGTAGATGATGATGATGATAACTAACTTTTATTGATCATTTACTATGTCCTATGATATTCACTTTAGATGCATTATTTCTCCAAATCTTCACTCCCTGAGATTAAGACTATTATTATTTTATCTTCTTTTTACAGAGGATTAGCTAGGGAATTACCCATCTTTATGCAGCTGGTAAATGGTAAAGTTAGGATTGTATTACAATATTCCATTTATTCAGGACCCAATGCATCAGATGGTTCAAAAAATGTTAATTCACCCAGAGTATTCAGTGATAATTTTTAAAAAATATATTTTACTGATTTTTTTTTTTTTACAGAGAGGAATAGAGAGTTAGAGAATTAGAAACATCTATGAGAGAGAATCATCAATCAGCTGCCTCTTGCACACCCCCTACTGGGGATGTACCCGCAACCAAGGTACATGCCCTTGACCAGAATTGAACCTGGGACCTTTCAGTTTGCAGGCTGACGCTCTATCCACTGAGCCAAACCGGTTTTGGCAGTGATAATTTTTATAATATCACTTAAGGCATTGCAAAAACTGGATACATTTTATAAATTATCCAAGTGGATAAAATAATATTCGGTATGAGTATAAATTATGTTTTTTGTATATCACTGTCTTGAAAAATTATCATTTGTTTGATATATACAGTAGATTAAATTGCTTAAGTAAAAATAAATTCACAATCCTAAGCCCACAGACAATCTACATAAATTGCTTTTTATTTTATATCCATTCTTAGAGAAAGGAACAAAATATAAAAGAGGGAATTCATACAAATGAAGTCATACAAATTTAGATAAGAAATTCCAGGACATGTTTTCATAAACAAAACATAAATTTATCTCAATAGCAAAAATAAGTGTGAACATGGAATAATTTAACATTTACACTGATGAACTTAACCTGATAAGAAAATAGTACTGGCATGTATAGGTAAACCTGCAAGTTAACAGTAGTCATTTGCTCATTCATTCACTTATTCATTCATTCATTTATTCATTCATTCATTCATTATTCATGTAGTAAATACTGAGTACCTGACTTGTACTACAATTATGAAGTAAATTCTTCTTTTAGACCCTGTGTAGATCAGTTACTTACTTTATAAGATCTGATTGCTTTCTGATTAGAAAAATAGTACTCTGAGAAGGGGTTGGATGAACAGTCTCTACCTACCAAGGAGACAGGACAAAGGGTGGAAAACAGTAAATGGGGACATGTGCCTTCCCTGCCCTGGAGCAAACTTGTGACTTGTAAAAATTCAGGAATTTCACCAAACACCCAAGAATGTTGGACATACTTGATCACCTATACCTTTATAGAACAGATACTGACCAAGGAACATGTTGGTTGAAAGATTTACACAGCTATTTGCCCCTGAGGGTAGGATTAGGCAATTATTTGCATAAGACACAATTATTTTCTACTTCTTCTCTGCTAACTTGCCACATACACTCTAGGAGCTTAAGAAATGAACCATATTCCTTCCTGTCAAAATTGCTGTCTTGTTTGCATTATCTATAGAGCCTAACAGAAATGATTTTTATTATTATTTATCTTTATTGTTGAAAGTATTACAAATGTACTCTTTGTGTTTTCTTCTCATTGACCCCATCCACCCTGCACTTGCCCTTCTGAGGCCTTCACCAGACTATTGTCTGTGTCCACAGGCTATGCATATATGCATATAAATTCCCTGGTTAATCTCTCCCTACCCACTACTCCATCCCCACCTTTTCTCTGGAGTTCATCAGTCTGTTCCATGCTTCTATGTCTCAGTCCACCAATTCATGAACCCAGTTTATTCTTCCACTTATTTATATCTTCCTCTACCTATTTTTTTTTTTTTTTTTCAAATTTCTGTATTTTTCTGAATACAAGCCTTTTACCTCCTTGGTTATGTTTATTTCTTTATCTCCTTGGTTAAATTTTTTGTTGCAATGGTAAAAGGGATTTTTTTATTATTATTATTTTTTTTTTAGTTTCTCTTTCTGAGAGTATATAAAAATGCCATAAATTTCTAGGTGTTAATTGTGTATACTGCTACATTGTTGAATTCGTTTATTGAATCTCATAGTTTTTTTGGTGGAGCCTTTAGGGTTTTCTGTGAACAACATCATGTCATCTGCAAATAATAATAGTTTTATTTCCTCCTTTCTATTTTGAATGCCTTTTATTTTTTCTTCTTATCTGATCACAGTGGCTAGAACTTCCAGAACTATATTAAATAAAAGTGTTAAAAGCAGACATGCCTATCTTATTCCTGTTCTTAGGGAAAATGGCTTTATTTTTTCCCCATTGAATCTGATGCTGGCTGTAGGTTTGTCATATTAGGCCTTTATTATGTTGAGGTATGATCCCTCTATTTCCACTTTGTTGAGAGTTTTTATTAAAAAAGAATGTTGGACTTTATTAAGTGCTTTTTCTGTATCAATTGATTTTTGTCTTCAAATTTGTTTATACAATGTATCTATAACCATGTGATTTTTGTCTTCCAATTTGTTTATGTGATGTATCACATGTACTGATTTGAGAATATTGTATCAGACTTGCATCTTTTAAAAAAAATCCCACTTGGTCACGGAGTATGATATTTTTTAATGTATTTCTGGATCCAATTAGCTAATATTTTGTTGAGGATTTTAATATCTATATTCATCGGGATATTGGCCTAGAATTGTCTTTCTTTTTAGTGTCTTTATCTGGGTTTAAAATTAGGCTAATGCTGGTCTCATAAAAAGAGGTTGGAAGTGTTACTTCCTCTTGGATTTTTTGGAATAGTTTAAGGAGTATAGATGTTAGTTCTTTGAATGTTTGGTAAAACTCCCTTATGAAACCATCCATCTGATCCAGGGCTTTTGTTTGCTTCAAATTCATCAATATTTTTATTATTGCTTCAAATTCAACAATAGTTATCAACCTATTTAGGTTTTCTCATTCATTTTTTCTGTTTCAGTTTTAGAAGATTATATTTTTCTAGGAATATGTTCATTTTGTCCAGGTTGTCCATCTTGTTGGAATATAATTGTTTAAGCATTTAAAAATATTTTTATTGATTTCAAAGAGAAAAGGAGATAGAAATATCAATGATGAGAGGGAATCATTGATAGGCTGCATCCTGCACATCCCACGCTGGGAATCAAGCCAACAACCTGAAATCGATCCATGACCTCCTGGTTGATGCTCAACCAGTGAGCCATGCTGTTTGGGCATGTTCATAGTATTTTTTGCATGATCATTTGTATTTTTGTAATGTCAGTTGTTACTTCACCTCTTCATTTCTGATTTTTTATTTATTTATTTGGGTCCTTTCTCTTTATTTCTTGATGAGTCTGACTATAATTAATCTTGTTTATCTTTTCAAAAACCAGCTTTTGCTGTCACTGATCTTTTGTATTGTTTTTATTTTAGTCTCCATGTCATTTTGATCTTTATTTTCTTCCTTATACTTACTCTGGGATTTTCTTGTTGTTCTTTTTCTAATTATTTAAGTTGTTATCAGAAGATTTTCTTGTTTTTTGAGGTAGACCTGTAATGCTATGAACTTCCCTGTCATGACTGCTTTCACTGTGTCCATAGATTTTGGGTTGTTGTGTGTTCAATTTCATTTATTTCCCAGAAGTTTTTATTTTTATTTCTTCCTTGATCGTTTTGGTAACACATTCATTGTTTAATAACATGCTATTTAGCCTCCATGTGTTTGAATGAGGGAGTGGGGGGAGAGGGAGAGAAAGAAAAAAAAGGCGAAATGCTATTCATCTCAACAGAATTTAGTGCCTTCTGGGATCTCCCTTTGGATCCTGTTCTTCTGATGACTGATTGACTGCTCTGTCTGCCAATTCTGCGCTTCCTGGAAGATACTTAGGTACTTGCACTGTCAGAAACTGTCCTCCGTTGGCTTTCACCGACCTGCTTGAAGTTCCAAGTGACACACAGTTTACAGTTTATGTCTGTCTCCATGGGACTTGGTTGCATGCAGAAAGGGGTCAAGCTGTCCCATAAAGTAGGTTTGTTAGTAGCATGGGGTGCAGGCCTGAGCCAGTAAGCTTCCTCAGGTTCTCCAGACTCTGCCTCTGCCTGCCTTTGCTTGACAGCCTTTATTCTTAATCACTGAAAAATCTGTTTCTGGAAGGGCTTTAGGCAGAATCAGGAATCTAGACCTCTGGGTCTCCCATGAGGGGGAGGTGCTGTTCATATTCAGGGCAAGCGGTAAATGTGTGTCACTGTCCCAGAGCTATTCCCCGGGGAGTGGCTCAGAATACTACTCTTGGGCTGGGCAGAGAGCCTTGTATGCAATCCAGTGAGATCAGCTGGAAATCCGGAAATCTGGAGTTTCCATCAGCTCTCCCACGCGGGGAAGGCACCAGTCAGGTTCTGGGGATAATGGGGCAGATGGCCCCACCCCCAACCCAGTCACAGACACTCCTTGTGACTGTTCAGACCCGCAGGCTAGGGCCTCTGCTGTGTTCTCCTTTGCAAACGTCAAGCTGCAGGGTGTGGCAGTCAGGGCTCCTGAGGGTGGGGCAGGCTATATCACCTAGGGAAGAATTTTTCCTTAGCCAGAGCTTCAGGTATTGGAAGCAGCTATCTTCTCTCCGGGGGAAAAAAATGGCCCTTTCGGGTTGGGAGCCTGTAACGGAAGGCAACACTCCCGACTGTTGCTTCTCCATGTCTCCCCGCACTGCTTCCCACTCTACCCTCTCCTTAGTCACCTTGAGTCCACGCCGCAGTCCCTGCTCCAAAGCCTTGGGTGAGTAGCTACAAATGAAAACTCATATACTCTAGGGGGAGTTTGGGGGGAGTAGGGAGGAGACAGAAACTGAGGTTTTTCTCTTGGACTGGCTCTGGTCTAGGGGCTCTGGTCTCTGCTGCAGCCCATAGCTCTGCCGCCTTTCACAGCTGGATGTTACATGGGCCGCTGGTCTTGGGTGTGGTGCTTCGAGCTGTGGAGCCCAGACTGGGTTCTGGGCCTTTGTCATCTGAGGGAAAAGACCCTCCAGTAGTGATCCTCATTCTTGGCCTGCTGCAGGGCAGCTGGGTCAGCCCCTCTCAGGACTTGGCCCTTCCTACTGGTCTTCAGGTGTTTTCTGTCTCCTCAGCTGGACCTCCGTTGGTAATTCCAGGTGTATGTTCCTCACTTTAGCTTTATTTCCATTCTGGCCCTTGGAGGAGGAGGTACAAGAAAGGTCTGCCTATCCATGATTCTCTTCTCTCTCATTGATGTTTCTCTCTCGCTCCCTCTCCCTTCCTCTATCTGAAATCAATTAAAAAAAAAAAAAAAAAAAAAAGGTCTGCCTATTTGACTGCCATTTTCTCTCCTCACATCATCCAAAATTGATTTTGACACATGAGAGATCTTGTGAATATATTTGATCATTGATTGATTGATGTATATCATTACATGTTTATACTGGATAAAGACCTAAGTTGGGATCTTAATGTCTGTGTGATCTTAGCAAGTCACTAAATTTTTCAGTTTCCTCATTTGCATATACAAGGTAACATTGGTGCCTTATTTATCTCACATAATGGGAAATCCAAATACATTATATAAGATGTTTCCTGCTGAACCAAAATATCTGTGCTTTTTTAGTGGTAGAACGCATAATTAGTCGTACACAACTATGTGAGTTACATAATTTTGCTTCTATATTAATAGTGAGTATTTTTCTTAAAACAATAGGGCCACAGCTGGTGTAAGTATAGAACATGGCATTAATTTGAGTCAAATGAATATTGAGGTTTCATTTCTAGTTTTCTTTGCCCAGTAATCTCAGTTTCAAGATGTACTTTTAAGGAAGAGTTGAATAGCACAAAATTATGCTGTAATTCTTTGAGATAATACCAGTTAATTGACTAAAGCTTATTTGCTTAACATCAGATATTCGTATATATGTTATGTTATTATAAGACACACTGTGTGTGTGTGTGTGCATTTGTGTGCACACACTGATTTGGTCTACATTGAAAACAAGTTGATCAGACCAAGCTGGACTGAGAATTTCATTGTCATGGGGAGTAGACAAAGTATAAGCTTTAGAATCAGATACTGAGAGTTAAATATCTGGTATTGAATCCTAGATCTTCAATTGTGTCAGTTGTGTGGCAGTGACTAAATTATTTAAGCTCTTTAATTGTCCAGAGTTTTCATCTGTAAATATGGATAATGCATCATTTGCAGAGTCTTTGGAGAGGACTAAAAGTAAGTAATGCAAAGTACCAGGTATACCAGTAGACAAGATCCAAAGAATGGTTTGATTACTTATTTCTATCTTTTCTGTTTTGTTTTTCTGATTCTATTCTCTGTCATTCTAGGTCTTCGTTGTCTTTCTTCTCACTGGTGGTGCCCTGTGGCTGTGACGCTGGGGATCCTTTGTGTGGGTTTACTGGTGTCCATCATATTGCTGTCAATGCAATGTAAGTGCAGACACAAGGAAGCGATGGAGGGAAAAAATGAGAGTTTATAAACATGGTTTGTAAATTGGTTTCAGAATACCTATAAACAACCTTGACTTAGATATATTTTAAGCAAACTCTATTTTAGAGTGAGTGGGAAGATGAATGGGTATATTGTGCTAGTCTCTCAAATTGTGACATAGAATGAAGATTATGAATTGTAGGTTTTTGTTTTGATTAATTTTCATAACTTCACAGACAGAGCCTTCATAAATCCTAATACAATGAGAATAAAAATAATTTGAAGCTAATTATCCACAAGATCATCTGAGAGAACCAAAAGTAAAAGAAACCTCATTTAGCTCATGTTGAGTTTTAATAGAGATGATTAAGTGCCAATTTAAAGTTAAGAACTGGAAACAAATTTTAATAATACAACATTTTAATAAAATACTTTAAATTTATTGTATGGATATTTTGGAAAGAGGTTATTTTGGGAAGAAAGAAATGAAAGAATGAAATTGGCCATGAAAGAAAGAAAATCATGTCGAGTACCCACCTCATCCACCTGTGTATTGAGATTGTAGATCTGAGTTATTTTGGCTCTCTAGTCCAGGTATTAAGGCTTTTTCAAGTGCTATTTGTTTTTCAATTGTTGTTTATGGTCACAACCATTTATTTTTCAATTGATGTAACACTAAGGCCTTACCTGATGATGGGAGAAGTGTCTTTGACCAGTGGTGGTGATTGGAAGAGTCTTTCTCAGAGGCTCTGATTACTTTCCAATAAGCTCAAACTTGGCTTGCAAGGCAAGGAGACTGCTTTGTACTGAAGCATCAAGCTTCTAGAACTGAGATATTTGGCCCTTAACATATTTTTGCCTGTTTGATTTCACAACTGTTATTGCATCTCCACCCTTCCTAAAATATGCTGTGGCAAAAAAAAAAAAAAAAAAAAAAAAAAAAATGTTTGAGACTCTTGTGACACAGCCACTTAAAATAGTCCTGCAGGAAGGTTTCTTAATAAAAGGGGCATCATAGTTTTTGAATAAAATCTGGAAGTCTGAAAATGTAGAAAGAGATGACAGAGGAATGAAGACACAAATATAGTACATGATTAATGACTTTCCTGCTAATAGTCATTAATTCTGGTTGGTGACTATTTGTAGATTGTCTACATTTTATTAGTGCCATTGGTACTTATCTTGGGATTGCTTTTAACTTGTAACTGTGCATAACTTGTGTGTAATTTGTTTGTAACTTGTGTGTTACATGTATGTAACTGTCAGTGACATAAAACCTTGATAATTTTTTTAATCACAAGTGTCTGTGACAGTTCCTGATATATATATATAAAAATTCTAGGAATATCAAAGAACTTTCAAATCCATAACATTTTAGTAAATTTTGGTCATTCTCCAGCAATTTATCTGTTATCAAAATATTATTATTTGATTTAGTTCTTTTGTTTATTAAATATCCAGTGGAGGGACTTTTATTGAAGTCTTTCTTAATCCAGCTATCATTTAGTATCCCAGGTGACTGATCTTCTAAAGCAACAGCAAGCAAACCTTACTCAGCAGGAAAATATACTGGAGGGACAGAGTTTAGCGCAGAAACAGGAGGAAAAGGCTTCCCTTGAATTACAGAGGAAACTCAAGGGAACGATTGCAAACCTTACCCAGGAGTTGGATGAGACATCCAAAAAACAAATGGAACTTCTTCACCAGAACCTGAATCTCCAAGAAGATCTGAAAAAAGCAGCAAACTTTTCAGGTACGAGGTTGGAAGATCCTCTAATTAATCTTAACTCTCTTTTGGAAAAGCCTCTAGGCACAAAATTGGCATATTGATATGTGTATCATCTCTCTATATATAAAAGCCTAAGTGATTGGCCAACCATTTGACCATCTGCCTGGTAACTAGGATGTGCACTGACCAACAGGGCAGACGATCAACATAGGAGTAGAAACGACAGGCATGGAAACATGGAACAGACTGATGAATCTCAGAGGGATGGGGAGAGAGGGAGGAAGAGATTAACCAAAGATCTTCTATCCATACTAGAGGCCTGGTACCTGGCCTGCACCTTCTCAGAATCCAGGACCCCTCAGGAGAGCCAGTTTTGGCCCGATCCCCACAGGCCAGGCTGAGGTGCAGGGGCCTCTAGCTATTTACATAAGGTTATAACTTCATTTCATAATGTTCTACACCAGAAGTTCTCTAATTCTGTCATCCCCACCCTGTCCTCCCTCAAATTCTTGAGATATCTGATTCCATTAAGTACACTTTTGGTGAATTTAAGTTTGTTTTCCTCATAAGAGTCTTCTCCTATTTTAAAATTCTAGTTTTGAGATTTTTCTGGATGAATTCTTCTTCCCTCATCCCTTGCCACAGATTCTTATCTGCTTTCATTCCAATGTATCTCAGTCATTTTTTTATTTTCTAAACAATGTCCTTTGTCCCTAGAACTCCTACCTCTGCATTAGCTTTGTTCTATGGAAAAATTTCTTAAAGTATACTACATCAATCTAAATGGAATCAATGAAGATAGACTGGCTTGGAAGTGTTGGGTAGATGCTTCAAATTAGACAAAAATATAATGGGCCCAGGAAGTTAGTTTATATGAGAAGAATTGAATTGATCTCAGCTAGAAAACGGACTCAGGTAGAGGTAGTAGCATCTATAAGAAAGAGACAACAATGTGAACTCAGGTTGTTATTGAAATTACCTGATTTATTTTGCCTTCTTATAATATGTCATTAAGTCATATACTTTTAGTCATAAGGAGAGTTAGAGTGTGTGAAATGAAGTATGTTGCTTCCTTTGAGGCATTGAATGAGTTCCACTCTTAAGTATCAACCTGTTAACCAGGGAATTCCCTTTTTAATTATGCAACATATAACGGGCGCGTACTCTTTCACCAGGACGTGTCAGTATGTCATGCCCGGAGGATGTAATTTCGTATTATTATTATTTTTTTATTTATACTTAAAATAAATGAAAAGACTATGAAATACATATTTTTTGTTTATTTATATTTAAAGCAGAAAGGAAAATACAAAATTACAAACAAATAGAAAAGAATACCAACAAAAAAATGGAAACATCGAATTAAAAAATTATAAATTTTACAAACAATTATAAAGATTACAAAAATATATATTTTTATTTTGATACACAATAAAAATATTAAAAAGTTAACAATTACAGAACAATAAACAAAAGCACACAAATAAAATAGAAATATTGAGTTTAAAAAATTAAAATATAGATGTAAAAATTCAAAACTCAACTTCCGTGTGATATATATTAAAAACAATTGTTGATACATAGTGTTACCTTACAATCCGGACACCAGTATGTAGATTCTTTCCTAACACCTTTTTTGTAGCAAACTCGGCATTTCCTGGATTTAGTTTTTCCTATATCGCTGAGGATTTTGCAACGGAAACATCTGTGTTTCCTGAAATATTACTAAAATTAAGTTGCTCACTTTATGTCAATATAGTGTTCTCCCTGCCTAGAACATCTTTATTTTTATTTAAAGTGTAACTTTATTTTATTTTTAAAATATATTTTTATTGATTTCATTAAGGGAGAGAGAGAGAGAGAAATAGAAACATCAATGATGAGAATCATTGATTTGCTGCCTCTTGCATGCCCTCTATTGGGTATTGAGCTCACAAACCAGCATTTGTCCTTGACCTGAATGAAACCCAAGACCCTTCAGTCTATAGCTGACACTCCATCCACTGAACCAACGCAGCTAAAGGTGAAATAGTTTTTGAACACTAGTCAGTACAAAAATTATTAATGGGTTATTTCATATGATTTTTCATACTAAATTTTCAAAATCATGCCTGTGTTTTACACTAATAGCACATCTTAATGCAGAGTAGCCACAATTCAAGTACTCAAGAGCCACCTATAGGCTACTTACATATACAGCAAGTGTCTTTAAGGAGGCCTGGTATTTAAGCCTTAACCCACTATTCAAAGACATGAAGTTTTAAAACACATAAGCATACTTTGTAATAGCAGAATAACTATTAAGTATTCATTTTCCTAATGTTCACTTCCATTATTCCAAACTTACCTTTAAAAAAGTAGAGCAGATTCTAAAATTCCATCACAGCCCAAGCTTTGCTTTTTAGCCACCTAAATTCTAATTTAGTCTACTAAAATCAGAATGCTTTTTTTTTTTTTTTTTTTTTTACTTCAAGAAAAGGGGAGTATTTGCAGAGTCTGGGTATAATCTATGAAGAATTCTGAGGGGAGACTTGATTTAAGAATTATAGAAAAAATGTTTTTAATGAATTATAGAAATGTTTTTCTCAGGCATAACTCTACTGATTATATATTCTACACTTCCTAGGTCCTTGTCCCCAAGACTGGCTCTGGCATGAAAAAAACTGTTACAAATTTTCCTCTAGTTCATTTAATTGGGAAACAAGCCGGGGGAACTGCTTGTCTCTGGATGCCCAGATGCTAATAATTAATAGCACATATGATCTGGTGAGTTTTCATGGATGTGTGCTAAGGTGGTGTATTGGTTCAGAGGGAAATAAATCAGGTTTAGGCCCTGGGTGGAGGAGCCCTTGTTTGAGAATGAGAATACCTATGTACCAGCCTAGCCATGAATTCCATACATGACCTTTGATGGACAGGTTATGGAGCATCTATAGGTTTCAGTAAACCTTTTTATAATACCATGGAGACGATGTCAAAGATATCCTTTGGTTCTTTTGTTTTGTGAATCTGTGAAACAACCCTACCGAACTCCAACACCAACTCAGAAATGTTGCTCCCCACAGGAATTCATCAAACAACTCACTGCTCATTCCAATGCCCCATTCTGGACTGGATTAACTAAGAGGAAACCAAGCTCCTCATGGCTCTGGGAGGATGGCTCTCCTTTGATGCCCAATGTGTAAGTTTTCCCTTCTTTGCTGAACCCACTAGAGAAGTTACCGCAGCATTCCACACACTGTGCTCTTCTTGCCAGAGAGAAGCTTGGGCATTTCTGAGAGTCTCCTCTCACAGGGGGCCCTACCCTTCTCTGGAGTTTTCCTTCCCACTTTCGTTAGAGATTTGAAAGTCTGAGACAAGACTACATTCTTGCCACTAGGTGGCAGTAATCTACTTTTCTTTTGTGTCTCCACCTACAGGTTTAGATTGAGGGGAGCTCTTTCCCAGAAGAATCCTTCGGACACCTGTGTGTATATACAAGGTGGAAACGTTTTTGCTGAGGGCTGCATTTTAACTGCATACAGTATATGTCAGAGGAAGGCGACTTTGTTGAGAGCTCAGTGAATTTGAAGGCTCTGGAACAGAGCGAAGAGGCCATCTTTGAATTCTCTTCTGGAATTTAAGCTGTTCTTCCTCACTTGGTTGCAAACTGTGAGATGCCCAAGAACAGGTGTTAGCTGACTGTAGAGCTCTTTACAGAAAGTGGACTCCAGCTGCCTGGTACCTTTATAACAAAAGTTCTGACCACATTTTTTCACCTAGCTTGTCCGAAGCCTCCCACCCAGCCTTTGGTCCCTCTTTTTTTTTTTTTTTTTTTTTTTTTTTTTTTTTTAAGTTTTGTTCCTCTGCAAACCTTGGGAACCCTCTCTACCTCAGTGCCATCATCCCTTCGCCCTCCTAAAACTGCATAGAAGATAGAACAGAGAAGAGTTGCCCAACTGCAGATAGAGGGCAATAAAGAGGAAGCATGCATGGGAAACAGCGCATGAAGAAACAGAAAAGGGGAAAGGTCATACTGGAATTCAGCAACGCATGTTCTCAATGTTAAAGGCGACCATTTGTTGGTCTTTGAAATCGTGGTCTCTCTCCAGACTCTCTTGCTTATACACACATACACACATACACGCACACACACACACATCTTCATGTTAGAAAGTAATTAGAAATTGGGTGGTCTTTTCTGTGACCTCGTCTACAATTAAATATCAGTTCCTGAATTAGTTATTTCTTCATCTTTTCTCTACCAAAGGATAGCTTAATACATTTAATATATATTTGTTAGATTCACTAGTAGGATGGCCCAAAGGGAAAAATAGTTGTGTGTTTTTTTCCCCCCCACTAAAGTACATACCTTTTATTGATAAACGCTTCTTAATTCTGTTATACTGTGCTATAAACCAAAAACAAATGACAATCAATTATAAAACAAACTGAACCAGGTATGGAAATATCACTGAACAGAAACAAATAGAACTAGAAATATTTCTTCTATTTTCCATGTTTTTACCACTTTCTCCCACTGTTTAGCCTTTTCATCCTCTGACACATAATCTAGCACCAATCTTATTTTTTTTTTAATCTCTATCATTCCTAGGAACACAAAAAGACATTTTCTTTTACTAACAGACTTACAATAAACTGAACATATATAAAGCGCACAATTGCATCTACTAGGCTTCAGAATCTGGAAAGGGGGCTGTGCATAAATGAATGAAGAGGATAGAGAAGAAATATGAATTTAAAAGGCATGGGGGACAGAAACTTAGTTCTAGTGACTAAGCTCCCTGAATGTCTGGACCCCTAGCTTTTTATTAACACATGTTGCCTTAAAGCAAAGCAGATATACATATCAAAGGTAAAGTTTGATAAACAGTAAAAGATTATCAGGTTGGGGAAATTTCCCTCATCTGTCTGGCAGCAGGCAATAAATAATATATGTAAGTCTTCAGTCCTGCTGAAGCCCCAAGTTCCATCAATCTTTTGATGAACTTCTTGCATTTATGACCTGCTGGAATTAGCCTCCAGCACACAATAAGTTTTTTTTTTATTTTTTATTTATTTGCTACTTTTATTTCTGCAAGGATATACTGAAACATTAGATGATATTAGCTAATGATAAAATGTAGAAATGAGGCATCAGCTTCTCTAACCATAGCTACAAGAATGTGAATATGTATTATCATATGTTCACTTTGATATAATCTCATTCTATTATGTAATATAACAATTAGATAGAAACAATAAGCAGGTGATCCAGCATCTCAGGTAAGCACTACATGGAAATCTGCCTTTGAGGACGGTGACCTCCCACTCCCCCAGAAATCAAGCTAACCTCTTGAGGAACAGCCCTAAGAATCACAAGAGACATTGGTGAACCTCTTTAACAAATCAACAAAAGAGCAGCAACTACTGCCGAAACCGGTTTGACTCAGTGGATAGAGCGTCAGCACTCGGACTGAAAGGTCCCGGGTTCAATTCGGGTCAAGGGCATGTACCTTGGTTGTGGACACATCTCGAGTAGGGGGTGTGCAAGAAGCAGCTGATCAATGATTCTCTCTCATCAATGTTTCTAACTCTCTATCCCTCTCTCTTCCTCTCTGTAAAAAAAATCAATAAAATATATTTAAAAAAAAACACCTCTAGAGATTTATGGCTACTTCTATAGGATGATTTCAAACTGCAGGAACATTTGTGGGGGCTAAAATATTTTCATGCAAGTCTCCAAACCCATAATCTTGTCACTATCAATTAAAACAAAATGTTATTAATTTAAAAACATACATGACAGCTGGATTAGTTTTGTTAAGCTTTCAGAAGTATGCACAGTGACGATGTTCCTCTGAAACAGGCTCATTCTCTCAGATCTGCCTACATATAGTTCCACATCACCTGCATGTTCCATGATTGAAAGGAGGAACGTTCGGAAAACATGGCACACGGGGAACTCAAATGTTAGAACAGGGGAAAAGTCAGTTCAGAATCACAGCTAAGTTCCAATGTTAATTTTCTAGAACTATTAGTTGATCAAAAGCACAAAAAGAACAGAATGAAGGCTTTGATGAGGAAGATAAACCATGCATTTTGGTAAATTCCCTTTCTGCTCACAGAACACAGGGTGAGCAGCGAGTTGAAACAGCCACTACAACTCTTATGTGTCGTGTGATGGCACGGTGGGTCCCAGCTGAGTCACGAAGGGTATCTCAGTGGGGGCCATTATTTCTTAAGCTTGTTGCTTACATCCCTAAGCGGCTAAATGGTTAGCTCTTTTCTGCTCTATGATAAGCATGCAGAAGAGTCCATCTGCATGTTCATTTTTTTTTTTTAAATGCAGCCATTGCAAAATTAACTTCGCTGAGGAGATGGTTTTGCTAAATTCTAGATAGAATGACGACTGTGCCCTTATTTGAGTAACACTGTAAACTAGAAGAAAAGATAGGAACAACTTTGAAGAGGTGAAAGGCTGCTCTTTCCCAATGGATGGTATGGGGCAGAGGGTGAGGACGCAGATAACAAGACTCAATTCCATTTTACAGGACAGGAGCTCCTGTCGCTTTACAGCTTTGTGGCACAGTTGGGACAATACACCTGCCCCTGATGGAAAACAAAGCGCTTGTTGGCCAGATTCAAGGAGCATTTTTTTTTTTTTTTTTTTTTTTTTTTTTTTTTTTTTGCAGCGGGAGCAGTAGTCGTGCCAGGATTGTCCTTCATAGGCCACCACACTGGAGCCTTTACCAAACCTAGTGTTGGGGTTCTTGCATCCAGCACAGTTCTTGGCCACAAAGTTCTTGTAGCAATCCACGCAGTAATGCTGGTCCTTCACAGTGGGGAAACGCTGCCTGGCCAGCTTCTTAGAGCAGGTAGCACACAGAGCACTCGGCATGCCAGGGCTGATCCTGGTGTGTGAGTCCTCCAGATGTGCTGGCTTTGTTGCACTTGAGGCAATGCTTGGCAAGTCTGGGCTCATGGCAAGCCACGCAGTAGAAGTCCTTCCCTTTTGCGAAGAAGCGTCCAGAGCTGATGACTTGCTTGCAGTGGCTGCAGGTGAAGCAGTCTTTGTCCCCTTGTGCTCTACATGCTGATCTCCTGCCCCAACTGGCTTGAAGCAGCCCTTGCACTTGAGGGAGGCCTTCCGAGTGGTGCACTGGTTGCACAGGACCTTATTGTCCTCTGTGCACCTAAAAGTTTCTTTGGCCCAAGGGTGCAGGCACTGGGCTCAGTGGAAGCAGGTGTCGTGCCAGCAGCGGTTCTATAGTGCACCTCCTTGGAGTCCACACCGGTGGGCCCACGGCATTCCACACAGGTGTTGGCGCACAACTTGTCAAAGCACCTCAGGCAGCGATGGTGGCCATCCTTCTCTATGCCCTTCTTCCCCTGCAGGGGGTCCCTGCGGTAGTCACACTTCTCAGCCCTGGTGCCCACCTTGTACCTGGAGGGACCTCACACGGGGTAGTATTGCACTGTGCTTTTTAATCCACTCATCTGCAGATGGGCACTTTGGTTGTTTCCAAATCTTAGATATTGTAAGTTGTGCTGCTATGAACATAAGGGTTCCTATATTATTTCTGATTGGCGTTTCTCATTTCTTGGTATGTATTCCTAGAAGTGAGATTACTGGGTCACATGGAAGTTCTACTTTTAATTTTTTGAGGAAACTCCATACTGTTTTTCACATTGGCTGCACCAGTCTGCATTCCCACCAGCCGTGCACAAGGATTCCTTTTTCTTCAGATTCTCTCCAGCACTTGTTGTTTGTTGAATGGTTGATGATGATAGCCACTCTGACAGGTATGAGATGGTACCTCATTGTCCTTTTGATTTGCATCTCCCAGATGATTAGTGACTTTGAGCATGTTTTCATATGTCTCTTGACCTTCTGTATGTCCTCTTTCAAAAAGACATTCAGGTCCTTTGCCCATTTTTTTTTTTATTGCATTATTTATCTTCCTTTTTTTAAGATGTATGAGTTCCTGTCTACAGCCATACCACCCTGAACGTGCCCGATCTCATCTGATCTCTCTCTCAAGATGTATGAGTTCCTTATAAATTTTAGAGATTAGACCCTTTTTGGATATAACATTGGCAATTTTCCCATGCAGTGGGCTTTCTTGTTGTTTTGTTGGTTTATTTTGTTGTGCAGAAACCTTTTATTTTGACATTGTTGCATTGGTTTATTTTCCCCTTGGTTTCTATTGTCCTAGGAGTTGTGTCAGTGAAGATATTTCTATGACATATGTCTGATATTTTGCTGATTATGGATTTTCCTAAGATTTTTATGGCTTCCTATTTTATATTTAAGCCCTTTATCCATTTTGAGTTTATTTTTGTTTATGGTATAAGTTGGTGGTCTAGTTTCATATTTTTTTTGTATGTATCTATCTCGTTTTCCTAACACCATTTATTGAAGAGACTGTCTTGACTCTATTGTATGCTCTTGCCTCCTTTGTTATATATAAATTAACTAGAGGCCTAGTGCACAAATTCATACATGAGTGGGGTCCAGTCAGCCTGGCCACAATCAGGGCAGATCAGTGCTGGGCCTGTCAGGAGGAGGAGATGGTGGGAAGTTGGCCAGATGGCCCACCCCAATCAGGGCTGTAAGGGGGGAGGGGTCGCAGGCAATTGGCAGGTGGGACCCCCTGATTGGGGTTGGGGGGGCTGATTGGGGGTGGAGCCGACTATGGGGAGGGTCTGTAGGCTAATCAGGGTAGTGGTGGCCCATTGAGGGTGGGGCTGGCTGGGGGGAGGGGCTGCAGGAGGTTGTCCAGCCAGCCCTGCCCCCTATTGGGATACAGGGTGCAATCAGGGGTGGGGCTGGCCAGGGAGAGGGGCTTCAGGCTGATTAAGGTGTTGGGGGACCATTGGGGGTGGAGCTAGCTGGGGAGAGGAGCCACAGGAGGTTGGCCAGCCGGCCCCACCCCCTGATCAGGCCAATTTGCCCACCACAGTGGGCATCATAGCAGTTGGTGATCGGTCATTCCAGTAGTTTTGGACATTGGCTTTTTATATAGAGAGATCATAAAGGCTTGAGTCAATTTATGGGTTCTCTGTTCTATTCCATTGGTCTATATGTCTGTTCTTGTGCCAGTACCAGGCAGTTTTGAGGACAGTGGCTTTGTAATATAACTTGATATCTGGTATTGTGATTCTCTTCAACTTAGTTCTTCTTTTTCAGGATTGCTGTGGCTATTTGGGGTCTTTTTTTATTCCAAATAAATTTTTGGAGAGTTTATTTTTGGTCTGTGAAATATGCTGTTGGTATTTTAATGGGGATTGCATTGAGTCTATAGATTGCTTTAGGTAGTATGCACATTTTAATGCTGTTGAGTCTACCAATCCATGAACATGGTATATTCTTCCATTTACTTATGTCTTCCTCTCTCTTTTTTCCATGTTCTGTAGCTTTCTGAGTACAAATCTTTTACCTCCTTGGTTAAGTTTATTTCTAGGTATCTTAATTTTTTTGTTACAGTAGTAAATGGAATTTTTCCCCCCTCTTTCTGTCAGTTCATTATTGGTGTATAAAAAAGTCATAGTTTTCTGAGTGTTACTGTTGTATCCTGCTATGTTGAGCTGAAAGGATCCCTGGAAAAAATTCTAGCCCAACACTGGAATATGATTTTTTGCCTCTGTGTCTCTATTTCTAAGTTGATGACA